GGTGAGCCTAGGATGGAAAGAATCCAAACCCAGAAGTGATTCCCATCTGTAGACTGCGGAAGTCCTGCATGCACTTCCTGCTCTGGCAAGAAGTGCAGTGCATACAGGCTGACCCGGCACCACAAACACATCCAGGGAGAGATACAGCAACTGGCTGGAAGAAAGTGGCTGACGTCTTTGGACAAGCGAAGGGAAGAAGGAGCAGTGGTACAGATGAGTTGTGACACTGAACAGAATGTTCACTGGGCACAATTTACCGCCTCTGCCATCCTGCACCAGGAAAAGAAGCCTTTGTCAGAATGTGGCGAGGTGGAATCTTGGAGTCTGGGGGTCCCCGGGAAAGAAGATCATCACAAGGAGGTGGAGTCTGGGGCGAAAACTACTGCCATCCTGCAAACCAACCCGTTTCTGTGGATGCGCCCCTCTTAGACAAGGAGTATGACTGTCAGCCCTGGTTCTAGATGCAAGCAAGCCATGGCTTGAGCACAAAACCACTGCTTCTGGCCTGCTTTGAATGCATTTTCCAGAAATGATGAATATGTGGTGATTCTTCCTGAATACTCATGCCTGGATCTGATTTGTGAGATGTTTTGAAGGGTTACTGTGGCTTTGTAATTGAGATTGTTTTCCCCTTGGGAAGTAACTGTTCTTCCCACAACCATTGTGGTTGCCTAGCAACAGGAAACAGTAGAACAGTCCACAGGGATTCTGAAGCTAAGGAATGGGGAGAGTTGATGTCTGTCCCATGGATGGGGTACACCAGTGGGCCTGACTTGAGATGGGAGAATGTTATAGCAAGAAATCTGTGGCCCCAGGGTCTGAAACCCCAGAGAGAATCAGGTGAGTTCCCAGCTCCTTCTGTCTCAAAAGAATTTGTGGGAATTTCTAGATGAAGGAGACTTTACTGGGTGCTTCAAAGAAAACCTTTCTTTAACGTCTGGGGGAAAACATCAAACAGACTTTTCACCTTATCCTGGAAAATGACCCCTTTCTTTGAATGGTGCTTCCATAGGGCAGGGTCTCATACAAAATAGGTGTTCAATAAATACTTGTTGAATGAATTAAATGTCCCTTACTTGCTCTTCTCAAAATCACATACTCACCCCAACCATTTTATTGGCATGGGGAGGGAAGGCTGAAGGTTATTAGAACCATTGTTATGAAATGTCACCTTCACCACTTCCTTGCCGGGAGATATCCACGAAAGAAGCTAGGTCATTCCAACTTTCCTCAGATAAAAACCCAAATCAACTCTGGCTACAAACATGGAAGTAAAATCCACCTCTATAACTGATCTACAGTTAATCACAGGGAAGTTCACAAGTAGGCACGATACGCATTTTCCCTTCAAATGTAGAAATACCTGCCACTTAGCATTTCCTTTTAAGCCTGGAATAGGAGACGACCATAACCTCCTCTGTAGAAAGAGCTAGATTGTGATGGGTGGTGTCCTGTGATAGGTACACTATAGCTCTGCTTAGTTAGGCTTTAAAATAGATTTTCATTACATGAAATGTGTGGGCCTTGTTTTTATTTGATTTTCACCTTGGGTCTACGGTCCATAGATGCTGTGGGAAATTCACAAATACCCCAAAGCCTTATGTGAGATGTTGTTTCTATGTGCAAAAGGTCTGTGACCTTCAAAAGATTAATAGTCCTTGGGAGGGAGGGAGTCTTATGTCTGTTAAAGAAAATGAAATTTAGCAAACACTCATTTTCTTTTAATTTCCCTGAACACAGCATCTAAAGAGATAATATGTCAATGTGCTGACAATCGGAGAGGTGAACATAATGTTACCGAATGACGAGAAAATGCCCTGTGATTAACAACTTTAAATAAATAGCCCGGTGTACAACCAGCAGGGAAGCCAAGTGAAAAGCAGGACTGTGTTCTCACTGCAAATTATCATTGGTGTTTTTGTTCTCCTGGTATATGGAACTGAGCGTTCCGTGCAAGTAGAGAGCAGGGCTGTGAGCTTGAACACAGCGAGTACATACTACCCTGGCTAACCCTTAGGTGGGTTCAGTTCAGCTCCTTCATTTCTACGCAGGAGCAAACTGGTCCCATGTGCCTGGGACCTACTTTTCTTTCCGTCCTTCTTCTCTTCTCATGCCCTTGAGACAGATCTTCTCTACAGTTTATAGAAACCAAATGGGAATTTGGTCCTCTGTTGGTCTAAGAAAAGAGGGTTAGGCCTTGGATGTGATTAACCTAGGGAATAGAGAAGGTATTTTCCCAGGAAATTCTTTCCCATAAGAATTGGGTGCTCAAGAGCTGTATTTCCAAGCCAGTTTTATTAAAGTCTTCTATTCATACGAACTAAGTGGTAACTGATTACTACCCCCGTAAAAAAAACACAGGGTAAAAGTTTGGAAAACAGATAGATACGTCACTGAAAGGAAGGAAATATTTATGTTCTTGTCACTTACTGAGGAAAAAAATGACTGTAAAGCTGAAATGTCCTATTAATACTCCCTGCTGATAGAAATTTAAAGGATTTTCTCAGTTTTTCCATGAACCCTGAAGTAAAACAAAACCACTGCAATAAAAACAAGCTTCATAAATACATTTGTTAATTCTCATTTTTCTCTCTCTCAAGGCTAATAGGCTTTCTCCTGAGTTATGCTACAAACATGACTTGTACTGTGTATGCTGAGTAGCTATGGTTACTCTGAGGCCATGACTCATGACCTTTAAATATTATTGTCAGGCAGCCAAAGCTCCTTCACTTTTAAATCAGTAGTTTTGTTTCAGGCATTATTAAAAGAAGGTGCTTTCAAATAGTACTTTCTCTTGTACATTTGTGGCGCATCTGAATATGCACATAAGGGTACCGTACCCACAGCTTTTTGTATTTTTTTTGTTGGGCTTCATACAGTGACCGTGTATTAATTTCTTGTGTGGTATATCACTGGGTGAATAAAAAACAAACAAAGATAGTCCTTGTCCTCTAGGAGGTATCACTGAGGAGTGCAAAAACATAGGTCAATAGATAATTATTTACATGATGAAATGTAATCAGGGCTGTAATAAGAGACAGACATACATACACTGCTTTGGACACAGAGGCAAGAAACACTTTTGACCGGTAGGATCAAAGAAGCTTCAAGAAAAGGCAGAATTTGAGTCACGGTGTGAAGAATAGGTAGGATTTTAACAAACATAGAAGAGAGCGAGAGCATTCTTGTCAGAGGAAACAACCAAAGAAAAGGATAAACACATAGTCTGGGATCACTGGGTAATACAGTTTGAGAAGAATATCACGTTTGTGAGATGTACTCATAGAAGATAAAATTAGTTAGATGGTAAGAGGGGGCAGCTTATTAAGGTCTTTCAAAACCATTTGTTGTTTTGTCCAGCAACATGATGACAAAGTTTGTTTTCCATTTCGTGATAAAGAGGTACTGTCAAGTAGAAAGCACCAAAATACTGGGTTTTGCTGATTTGGTATGATGCGAGAAGAGCAATTACCTCCCTCAGAACCCCAGCGTGTCCCTCCACTGAGTGGGAATCTAATTAATTTCGTTCAATAGTCACTGATTACTTTGTGAACATTTTAAAAGGTTTTAAGGTTTTTGAAAAGTGAAAGACATGCACAATAACATGGAAATAAAATAATACATTCATTAGGGAGATAGTAGGATAGAAAATAATAAAAGTACCCTGGGATTTTAAAGCAAGGCTTATTGGTTGGCAGGCAGAAGAATAAGACGTTAGGACTGGGGTGTTACTAAATCATCCATTTATTCATTCATTCGTTAAAAAATATTTATTGACCATTTATAGCCTTATTCAAGATGCCAAGGAAAGGGTAATAAAATAATAATAGAAAAAACTCCATATCTTCAAGAAGTTTGCGTTTTCAGTTGGGAGGAAACATGATAAATATAATTAATAAACAAATTCCATAGTATGCTAGAAGATGGTAAGTATAGCAAAGAAAAATTAAGCAAGGTCATGAGGATAGATAGAGGGTGGGGAGGTCAATTTAATTTTTTAAAAAGATTTTCTTATTTATTTTAGAGAGAGAGAGAGAGAGAGCACACTCAAGTGGGGGGAGGGACAAAGAGAAGGGGAGAGAGACAGAATCTCAAGCAGACTCCCTGATGAGCATGGCGCTGGACTCGGGGCTCAATCTCATGACCCTGAGATCATGTCCTGAGTTGAAATCAAGAATTGGATGCTCAACCCACTAAGCCACCCAGGTGCCCTGAGAGGTCAATTTTAAAGGAGGGTGCATATGGTAGGCCTTACTGAGAAAAGATATTTGAACAAAGACAAGAAGGGAGTGGAAAAGAGTCAAGCAGACAAGTAAGGAGTACATGTTCCTGGCATTAGGACTTGACAGGAGAGTCTATATAAGGAGTTGTATGGGAAGAGAAAGTAGGGAGTGGGATGGAGTTCTACAATGGATGGGAAGGGTGAATGAGGTGGACCTCATATGCCATTATACGGGTTTCAGCTTTTATTCTGTGTGAAATGAGATCCCTTACTGGAGGGTTTTGAGCAGAGGAGTGACATAATTTTTATTATGGTAGATGTACTGAAAAGAGAATGTAGTGGGCAAAGATGGAAGCAGAGAGCACCATTTAGGAGGTTAATGCAATTCCAGGCACAAGCTGATGGTAGTCTGAGGCTTGGACCAGGGTGTTAGCAGTGAAGATGGTGAAAGTTGGCCAGATATGGGATATATTTTGACTGTAGAGCCAAGAGTTTCCTTTTGGATTGGATACGGATTCTGAGACAAAAAAAGGAGTCAAGGTGTCAGCCTGAGTGAGTGGAAGGATGCTGTCATCATCAACTGAGAAGGGGAAGACTGCAAGCAGAAAATTGGGGGTATGAATTAGGGGTTAGGTTTGGAAATGGTGAAACTGAGATATCTATTAGACATCCCAGTGGGGATGTCAAGTAAGCAATTGCATAAACGAATCTGGAATTCAAGGGAGAAGTCTGGAAATGCGTACGTGGCAATGATCAGCATATTGATGAATTTAAAGCCATGAGGTTGGATGACATTACCAATGGAGTGGATATGAATAGAGAAGAGAGGAAGCCTTGGAGCATGCCAAAGGTGAGAGCGCAGGGAGAGAGAAAGAACCATCAAAGGAAACTGAGAGGGAGCAGCAGGTGGGACAGGAAGAAAACCTGGGCGCTTAGGACGTCCTGGAGCCAAGTGCAGAGAGCCTGTCAAGGAGGAAGCGATAAATCATGTCAAAAGCTGTCAAGTAAGGTGAGATGTGACAAATGATCACTAAATACAGTGATGTGGAGATCACTGATGAATTAAGGGCAGTTTCTGTGGAATAGTGCTTGTGAGAGTCTGGATGGAGAGCTGCCTTAACAAAACACAGGAGGAGAGACAGAATACAGCCTCATTAAAGAGGGGATCAGGGTGGGGCGCCTAGGTGGCTCAGTTGTTAAGCATTTGCCTTCAGCTCAGGTCATGATCCCGGGGTCCTAGGATGGAGCCCCGTGTTGGGCTCCCTGCTCACAGGAAGCCTGCTTCTTCCTCTCTCACTCCCCCTGCTTGTGTTCCCTCTCTTGCTGTCTCTCTCTCTCTCTGTCAAATAAATAAATAAAATCTTAAAAAAAAAAAGAAACACCCATTATTAAAAAAAGGGGGGGGGTCAGGGTAATTAAGTAGAAAGTAAAGGGTTAAGAGGGCTCAAGATGCAATAAATAACAGCATGTTTGTAAACTACTGGAAATGATCCCAGAAAGAGAGATTGAGTGAGAAACAGTGTAGGAGACAAAGAATTCCCCAAGTCTGCTGTTTAGTAGGATGATAGGCTTTCTTCCACATTTTCTTTTTCTTTTTTTAGTTGAAATAAGAGATTTTGCAGGTTTTCAGAACAGACTGTACTGTTCAGACTGCTTATGCTCAAGAGAACCTTTAAAAGCTATTCTATCTTCTTTGAGTGAAGTTTACATTCCATAGTTTTGATTTCCTTTAGAAAAGTTCAGAAATTGACATTTGGAGGAAATACTTTATGACAATTATCTTCAATGTCACGGTGTAAAGATCTATTTGATGTGGGACGTGTGTATGTGTATCTGTGTATACAACTGCGTGCACACTTGAAATAAAATTTTGGAATTCTAAACTCTTACTTTATTTCAGCACCATGTCTGCACGTTTAGAGTCAAATACCCAACAGAGAAACAAAAAGCCGGTAAGAAATGAAGTTTGCGTGAATTCTTTTTTTTTTTTTTTAAAGCATTATAGTTAATAAAACTGTAACTTCTTTGATTAATGCTGAGATTTTCCTGATATAGTTTTGCTTTCACATTTTATTAGTAAAGATTTTAAAAGTAGAACATGGAATATCCTTTTTTCTAGTAGCATGCAGCCAAGTGGGGAGAGTGCCAACTAAGTGATACTATTGGGCAGTAGGGAAGTTAGGTGCTGTGATGTGGCCCCACGATATCACAGACATCCTGGTAACTCCAGAGTATTTGCTTATATGTGAGGAAATTCTGGAATTCAAACATGGTACCAATTGGGTAAATCACATTATGCAGTTTATTTAGGCTAAGGGTGAAGTCACAGTCTACTCTAGGTATTTCCAGTTCATGCTCTTTCTAGTTGGTTGATGACATACCTAGTTCTGACCTTTGAGATCTTGTCTCTTCCGTGAGCTCTCTTATGCCCTGGGACATCTAGGTTCTTTTTCCCCGAGCCTCATCTAGTACCTGTCTAGGCCTCGGATAGCAAATGTGAAGGCTGTTGAGAAACGTTGCGGCTGCAGGATGGGGACACGGGAGCTCATTATACTAGTCCTCCACGTTTATAAGAGAATTTGAGAATTTCCCTTAAAGAAAAAAAAAAGCTATCTGTACACCCTTGATTCAGTTTTAGTAAGGATCCCCTTAGACTCCACCATGGACATTTCTGGAACAACCTCAGCTCTAATGTACAGGCAGTATGGTATAGAAGAAAGATCACAGGACTAGGAATCAGGCCCAAGTGTCCCACCTCCAAGCTGGGTGACCATAACCAAGTCATTTAAACTCTCAGGGTCTTATATTTCATCTATAAAATCAGGATGATGAGCTTTAATAGTCTACTTCAAATACGATGTTTGGCATGTGAAAATGGTTGGTAAAGTACCTACCAGTGCACTGGAGTATAGTTATTTGGAATCGATAGCATTCAAATGGGCTCCCCTGTGGGCCCGGGGACCTTGCTCTTGGATTTCTCGATTTCTTTCTGGATTCAGCAGCTCTGCCCTACTACTCCTGTCCCATCTCAGCATCATCAGCTAAGAACAACTGATCTAGTGAAGCGCATATCCAGAAGCCCACTCCTGCCGTTACTTTTTCAAAAACATTAACATCTCTTTTCTAAGTTACATTCACTTAACCTGGCCCCAGATAGCCTGGACGTATCCCTCAAATCCATAATTATCTTCAGGAGGAGGGTTTTGTTAAAGAAACAGAAGTCAAGGGAGACCAGCTTAGACTCGTAGAACATGAATTTTATTAAAAATCTACTTGCTAACGGTAGTGATCATTTAATCTTACATTGCTTTTTTTCAGCTGGGAAAAAAAAAAAAGCCTAATAATGAAGATTTTTAAGACGCATGTTGGAGCTACTTAGAATTCTGTTGTCCAAAGAGAAAGTATCACTCACCAATACCATATGAAAACATCTTTTTCTACTCTTAGAACCCTTGGATTAGCAGTTAAATTGCAGTTTTGGAAATGAGAGACTTCAGCTCACCAGTCTCCGTTTACTGCCTTTCCCTCTAACAACGCTAATCAATTAGCACCCTAGAGGTAACTCTCTAGTTGGCTGCGTTTGACACTGAAAAGGACAGGCGCCAATTACCACATTTAGGATTTCTGCCCAGGGCTCCCAATTAGCTTCCTGGAGTTCAGAATCTACTGCTTTCAATTTACATTTAAGACAGTTGGGAGCCCTGGGGCTGCAAGTAGCTGGTTCTGCTGTGTTCTACTGTGTTTTTACATTTCTAAAAGAATACATTTAGCTGGAGGAGGTTAGAATTAGAGACCTCAAGGCCATAAGACATCCACAATTAGTGCTGTCTGCTCATCACACGTTGCCTTTCAGATCTTGCAGCTCTTGGAATGGTCACTTGTCAGAGCCGATTCTGCTATGTACCATGAGGTACATACCAGCTTGCAAGTGCATCTCAGGTGCCTCTTGTAAATAGTGGCTGTTTGCTTTAGCAGAAGACATTGAAATTGAAGGATGAAATCTGTTTAATTCTGGGAAGATGTCTCGACCACCCACGCATAGCGAAACATTCTCCTCCTATCCGGAGATGGTGGTTTCCTATTTGTCTTCATTATACTGTTCCCTGAATAGTACCTCAATTTTTGGACTCTCTTGGTAAACTACATTCTTAGAGGGAGAACGTGCCTTTCTTTGTTCATCTCTGTGTCCACGGGCAGGGTCTCTGATAGCAAAACAGCACTCAGTCATTATTGTTTGAAATAGAACAAATGGACTGAGCCCCAGGCATGGCCCTAGGTGATTGACAGAGGCTGTCCTTCCGATTCCTTACAGCAGCAGATGGCTGGGGGGTTTCAGAATCACCACTCTCATATTGATACTTTCATTGTAATTATTACTACGTTAGAAATTAAGAAATTGAGGGCGCCTGGGTGGCTCAGTTGGTTAAGCGACTGCCTTCGACTCAGGTCATGATCCTGGAGTCCCTGGATTGAGTCCCGCATCGGGCTCCCTGCTAGGCAGGGAGTCTGCTTTGCCCTCTGACCCTATCCCCTCTCATGTGTTCTCCCTCAAATAAATAAATAAAATCTTTAAAAAAAAAAAAAGAAATTAAGAAATTGAGATTCAGGGGGGTTGGGAAAGAATTCAGCTACTGAGTGACCAAGGAATATGTGTTCCCCAGTAGTAGGAACATTCTGGGATAATGAGGTGTTAGTCTCACTATGATGAGATCCACATCTCAGGTGCCAGGTTGTCCCTGTTTATCTGCACCCTATTCTTCTGGGCCTGTTGGAGTGCATATAAATCATCTCATTTGAAGCTGTTGAGGAAATAAAAATTCTATCGCAAGGAGGCTTGACCTGAACCGGATACCTGGCTCAGGATTTCTCCCTCTGAACGATTCCTGCCCAGCTCTGACACACAGAGATGAATCATGTAAAACATGTGATGTCACTGGTGATGTGACATCCTCCAAAAGTGAGCATGTGGGTGTGAATTCATTAATGCTAGAATATGTATGAAGTAGTTCGCTCGTTGTGCAAAACTAAGCTTATTATAAAACCTCATAAACCCTTAGCTTTCAAGCTGCAATTTAGTGATGACTTCATTAAAGAATCATTATCTTAGGTGCCAAAAATATGAAGCACACTACCTAGAAAGTCAGCTCTCCAAAACGACCTTAAAGTAGCTGAAAGACTTTTGCATTTGATAAACTGGGGAGGGCAAGCAATGCCTTAAATTGTGCCAAATTGTATAAATTCTGTTCTTTTAATACTTAGTATGATATAGTATTATGTTTGCAGGAAGCAGGTATGTCGTCACATTCTCATATTTCTAAATTTTAATGTTCTAAAATGGCTTTCAGAAAATTCTTCCCATTGAGGAGCAAACTTTCAAATCATTTGTTAATATATTACTTGTGTTTGGGGCGCCTGGGTGGCTCAGTTGGTTAAGCGACTGCCTTCGGCTCAGGTCATGATCCTGGAGTCCCGGCATCGAGTCCCGCATCGGGCTCCCTGCTCGGCAGGGAGTCTGCTTCGTCCTCTGACCCTCCCCCCTCTCATGCTCTCTCTCTCTGTCTCATTCTCTCTCTCAAATAAATAAAAATAAAATCTTTAAAAATATATATATGTTACTTGTGTTTTAAATGACCATTTCAAGTGATTTAGAGGAAATATTCCTATTTATTCTTAGAATGAGATCAATATAGAACTGTATTTCTATGTATATTTAAATATAAAGATTTGTGGCTGTTCTAGAAAATTGGATATATGTGTATTTCACTTTAATTCATGAGAAATGATGTCTCAGAACTTTCTGTTTTGGATTTCTTTCTTTCCTCTGTTCTTTCCCTTTCTCTCCCCTTCTCC